CCATCTGTCTGCCATCTTCCCCCACAGCCAGGGGTAAGGTCACCTCCACCAAGAGGGCAACAGCAGACCAAAGACTGGAATGCCAACTTATCACAGGAGCCAGGGCCCCGCTACCTCCAGGATCCCTCCACTTCCATGCCACCAGGGGGTAACACACCGTCTTCAGTGCCTCCTACCAGCAGGGACCCCCCCACCTCCAGTGCCCCTCCATCCCTAGGATCCCTCCACTTCTAGGGCCCCCTACCACCAGGGGTAACCCACAGTCTTTAGTGCCTCCTTCCAACTAGGGGCCTCCCACTTCTGAGGCCCCTCCATGTCTAGGATCCCTCCACTTCTGGGGCCCCTTCACATCCAGGGCCTCCCTACCACCAGGGTTACCCACCATCTTTGGTGCCCCCTTCCACCGGAGGCCTCCCTATCTCTAGGATGCCTCCACCAGCAAGGCCCACTACCAGGGGTAGCCGACCACCTTTAGTGTCCCCTAACACCAGGGACCCCCAACCTTTGGGGCCCCTCCAACTCCAGGGCCTCCCTACCACCATGGTTACCCACCATCTTTAGTGCCCCCTTCCGCCGGGGGCCTCCCACTTCTGGGGCCCCTCCATCTCCAGGATCTCTCCACCAGCAAGGCCCACTACCAGGGGTAGCCCACCATCTTTACTGTCCCCTACCACCATGGGCCTCCGAATTCTGGAGCCCCTCCATCTCTAGGATCCCTCCTCCAGCAGGGCCCACTACCACCATGGTTATCCACCATCTTTAGTGTTCCCTTTCAACAGGAGCCTCCCACTTCTGGGGCTTCTCCATCTCTAGGATCCCTCCACTTCTGGGGCCCCTTCACTTCCAGGGCCTCCCTACCACCATGGTTACCCACCATCTTTAGTGCCCTCTTCCACCGGGGGGCCTCCCACTTCTGGAGCTCCTCCATCTGTAGGATCCCCCCACCAGCAGGGCCCACTACCACCAGGGTTAACCCACCATCTTTAGTGTCCCCTACCACCATGGCCTCCCACTTCTGGAGCCTCTCCATCTGTAGGATCCCTCCACCAGCAGGGCCCCCCTACCACAAGGGCCCATCAATCTCCAGGATCCACTCCCCTCCAACCACTAGGTTTCCCCCACCTTCAGGATCCTATCACTACTAAGGTCCATCCATCTTCAACATCCTTTCACCTCCATGGCCTCCACCATCAGGGTCACCACCTACACTGATAGGGGCGCCCCAACCTTTAGGATCCCTTCACCTTGAGGGCTTCCTACCTGTAGTGTTGGGGTTCTTCTCAGAGGACGCCAGGATTTCATGACAGTAGGTGACACGCTCATCCTGAGACAGGTTGGTGTCAGCGGCCAGGAGGCTGCAGGTCTGAAGGTATCTGTAGCAGCATTAAGGATGATGTGACTCCTTCAATGGACAGGGCGGTGGAAGAGCGGACACCCCAGAATCACGCGTGTGAGAAGATAAAGGTGATCCCCCACCCGCTTTACAGGGGCACCCACCTACACTGTATCCTAAGGTACTCTTCCAGGGCTGCGTGGTACTTCAGGAGCTGGAATGAGGAGAAGGTATGGGCAGGGTAGGGGCAGGGTAGGGGCAGGGTAGGGGCAGGGTAGGGGCAGGGTATGGGCGGGGCATGGGCAGAGTATGGGCAGGGTATGGGCGGGGCATGGGCAGGGTATGGGCGGGGCATGGGCAGGGTATGGGCGGGGCATGGGCAGGGTATGGGCGGGGCATGGGCAGGGTATGGGCAGGATAGGGGCAGGATAGGGGCAGATTCGGTGTCATAAATACAACCGCAGAGGAAAAATACTTCAATGGAGTTCTACTCACCCGGCAGCATTGGATGGGACGCTTCTGTCAGAGGCCACATCAATGAGGAACGGCCATGGGATAGGCGGCTATTGCTGATTGGAGGAATGAGCTGTGGGATGGGTTAGTATTGATCTGAGGAGGAGGAGGCGGGACAGGTGAGTATTGATCTGAGGAGGAGGAGGCGGGACAGGTGAGTATTGATCAGAGCAGTGGGAGGCGGGACAGGCGAGTATTGATCTGAGGAGGGGGAGGCGGGACAGGCGAGTATTGATCTGAGGAGGGGGAGGCGGGACAGGTGAGTATTGATCTGAGGAGGGGGAGGCGGGACAGGCGAGTATTGATCGGAGCAGTGGGAGGCGGGACAGGCGAGTATTGATCGGAGCAGTGGGAGGCGGGACAGGCGAGTATTGATCGGAGTAGTGGGAGGCGGGACAGGCGAGTATTGATCGGAGCAGTGGGAGGCGGGACAGGCGAGTATTGATCGGAGCAGTGGGAGGCGGGACAGGCGAGTATTGATCGGAGCAGTGGGAGGCGGGACAGGCGAGTATTGATCGGAGCAGTGGGAGGCGGGACAGGCGAGTATTGATCGGAGCAGTGGGAGGCGGGACAGGCGAGTATTGATCGGAGCAGTGGGAGGCGGGACAGGCGAGTATTGATCGGAGCAGTGGGAGGCGGGACAGGCGAGTATTGATCTGAGGAGGGGGAGGCGGGACAGGCGGGTATTGCTGATTGGAGGAATGAGCTGTGGGATGGGTTAGTATTAATCTAAGGAGGCGGGACAGGCGAGTATTGATCGCAGCAGCGGGAGGCGGGACAGGCGGTATTGCTGATTGGAGAAATGAGCTGTGGGATGGGTTAGTATTGATCTGAGGAGGAGGCGGCGAGACAGGTGAGTATTGACGGGAGCACAGCGGGAGGCGGGACACAGCGGGAGGCAGGACAGGCGAGTATTGATGGGAGCAGCGGGAGGCGGGACAGGCGAGTATTGATCTGAGGAGGGGGAGGCGGGACAGGCGAGTAATGATGGGAGCAGCGGGAGGCGGGACACAGCGGGAGGCGGGACAGGCGAGTATTGATGGGAGCACAGCGGGAGGCGGGACACAGCGGGAGGCGGGACAGGCGAGTATTGATGGGAGCAGCGGGAGGCGGGACAGGCGAGTATTGATCTGAGGAGGGGGAGGCGGGACAGGCGGGTATTGATCTGAGGAGGGGGAGGCGGGACAGGCGAGTATTGATCTGAGGAGGGGGAGGAGGGGGAGGCGGGACAGGCGAGTATTGATGGGATCAGCGGGAGGCGGGACACAGTGGGAGGCGGGACACAGTGGGAGGCGGGACTTGGCTGGATGGGGGTTATAGAAGGATACGGCTCGGTCTGTCCCAGCAGTTTCTGACACTCTGCCAGCTGCTTCCTGGTGTGGGTGAGGGGCAGAGACCACCCCTCTGACTGGTACATCCGGAGCGCCCCCTGCAGGTAGGGCTCAGCTTTCTGTGGCAAAGATTTCCTCCTGGAGAGAGAAGAGACATCAGATCAGAGATCACAAGAGGCGGGACCCATATACACCCTCCAAGTGACCCCATATACACCCTCCAAGTGACCCCATATACAGGATATACAGGGTGGAGAGATCAGACTATAGATCAGTATTACCTCTCCCTCATGTGACCCATTTCCCACCCCCCCATCCCTGTACCCCTCCCCCCGTGTGACCACCTTCCCTCCCCCATCCCTGTACCCCTCCCCAGTGTAACCCACTTCCCTCCCCCCCATCCCTGCACCCCTCCCCTCCATCCCTGCACCCCTCCCCCGTGTGAACACCTTTCCCTCCCCCCATCCCTGTACCCCTCCCCAGTGTGACCCCTTTCCCTCCCCCATCCCTGTACCCCTCCCCAGTGTGACCCCTTTCCACCCCCCATCCCTGTACCCCTCCCCAGTGTGACCCCCCTTCCCTCCCCCCCATTACTGTACCCCTCCCCAGTATGACCCCTTTCCCTCCCCCCATCCCTTTACCCCTTTGGCTCCTCCTATACACGTTACCATGGTGATGACATACACAGAACACCACCAGGTAGAATTTGGACAGAGTAGCTCGGGGTGATACAATTCCCCTCCCCCCTTTCACCTAGAGGGGAGGGGGAAGACTGATCTAGTCCGGGGCCCACACATGTGCCCCCTTTCCCGTAATTGGCTTCACACAGGAGGATTCTATCCACATCACCTCCAATCAGAGCGCAGAGTACCGTTTCAGCCAACCTCTGACCTCCTCCAGAGACCAGTAGAGCGCCTCCGCTGGGCAGACGAGGTAACTACAAGCCAGGGACAGCTCCGACATCACCAAGTCTGGCATCATGTGATGGCCCCCAGGGGGTGCAATATGTCGTATCTGAGGTCACTCAGCCCTCCCCACTTACATGTAGAACTCGGCCAGATCCTTCCCCACCAGCTTGGCGGAGCGCGCTCTCCCGATGGTGTTGTACATCTGGATGGTGGCGTGGGCCAGCTCCTGCGGGCACAGATCATGTGATCAGATGAAGAAACATCACGTGATTGGCTGACCTAGGACATGGACCACTCACCAGGTAATGCTTCTCAAAGGCCTCCTCCGAGGACAGCGCCTCCTGCAGCTTCTTGTAGGGGCTCTGCGCCGTATTGGCTGTGGGGGGAGGGTAATATTTAATATATCACATGTAGGAAGCCACACCCCCGAGGAATACATAACGCCCATCCTCACCAGTCTCCGGCCTTTCTGCTCCCAGTCCAGCCAGCAGGTCTACCGTCCTCTGAAGATCCTCCGAGCATGGTCCCCCTTCCGAAACCAGACCACACAGGGAGCCCAGAGACTGCAGCTGTGACCACAAGGAGGAGGAGATCACAGAGGTGTCCACGGGACAACTGCCTAGTATGGGGGGGCAATACATGACACCCTACATCACCCCATTGGGGGTCAGTGGGGGGAATACATTGGGGGTCAGTGGGGGGAATGTCCCTTACATTGGGGGTCAGTGGGAAGAATGCCCCTTACATTGGGGGTCAGTGGGAAGGGGGTCAGTGGGTAATGTCCCTTACATTGGGGGTCAGTGGGAAGAATGTCCCTTACATTGGGGGGGGTCAGTGGGAAGAACGTCCCTTACATTGGGGGTCAGGGGGTCAGTGGGAAGAACGTCCCTTACATTGGGGGGTCAGTGGGGAAGAATGTCCCTTACATTGGGGGTCGGTGGGAAGAATGTCCCTTACATTGGGGGTCAGTGGGAAGAACGTCCCTTACATTGGGGGGGTCAGTGGGAAGAACGTCCCTTACATTGGGGGTCAGTGGGAAGAATGTCCCTTACATTGGGGGGGTCAGTGGGAAGAATGTCCCTTACTTACATTGGGGGGGGTCAGTGGGAAAAGAATGTCCCTTACATTGGGGGGTCAGTGGGAAGAATGGGGGTCCCTTACATTGGGGGTCAGTCAGTGGGAAGAACGTCCCTTACATTGGGGGTCAGTGGGAAGAATGTCCCTTACATTGGGGGTCAGTGGGAAGAACGTCCCTTACATTGGGGGTCAGTGGGAGAACGTCCCTTACATTGGGGGGGGAAGAATCAGGGGGTGGGAAGAATGTCCCTTACATTGGGGGGTGATCAGGGGGTGGGAAGAATGTCCCTTACATTGGGGGTCAGTGGGAAGAATGTCCCTTACATTGGGGGTCGGTGGGAAGAATGTCCCTTACATTGGGAAGGTCGGTGGGAAGAATGTCCCTTACATTGGGGGTCCCTTACATTGGTGGGAAGAATGTCCCTTACATTGGGGGTCAGTGGGAAGAACGTCCCTTACATTGGGGGTCAGTGGGAAGAAGACATTGGGGGTCGTGGGAAGAATGTCCCTTACATTGGGGGTCAGTGGGAAGAATGTCCCTTACATTGGGGGTCAGTGGGAAGAATGTCCCTTACATTGGGGGTCAGTGGGAAGAATGTCCCTTACATTGGGGGTCAGTGGGAGGAATGTCCCTTACATTGGGGGTCAGTGGGAGGAATGTCCCTTACATTGGGGGGTCAGTGGGAGGAATGTCCCTTACATTGGGGGTCAGTGGGAAGAATGTCCCTTACATTGGGGGTCAGTGGGAAGAATGTCCCTTACATTGGGGGTCAGTGGGAAGAATGTCCCTTACATTGGGGGTCAGTGGGATCAGTGGGGGTCAGGGGAAAATGTCCCTTACATTGGTGGTCAGTGGGAAGAATGTCCCTTACATTGGGGTCAGTGGGAAGAATGTCCCTTACATTGGTGGGTCAGTGGGAAGAATGTCCCTTACATTGGGGTCAGTGGGAAGAATGTCCCTTACATTGGGGGTCAGTGGGTGGAATGTCCCTTACATTGGGGGTCAGTGGGAAGAATGTCCCTTACATTGGGGGTGATCAGTGGGAAGAATGTCCCTTACATTGGGGGGTCAGTGGGAAGAATGTCCCTTACATTGGGGGTCAGTGGGAAGAATGTCCCTTACATAGTGGGAAGAATGTCCCTTACATTGGGGGTCAGTGGGTGGAATGTCCCTTACATTGGGGGTCAGTGGGTGGAATGTCCCTTACATTGGGGGTCAGTGGGTGGAATGTCCCTTACATTGGGGGTCACTGTATGAGAGGATGGATACGAGAAGACACTGGGTGACACATAGTAGAACACCAACCTTCTCCATGGCGTAGCTCCAGAGCCCCACGGTGTGGGAGATGTTGGCCTCGAGCTGAGCCCGGTCACAGCAGCCTTCTATCCTCTGCAGAACTTCCAGACAACTCAAGAAGACCCAGCAATCCAGAGCCCCAGGGGGGACAGAAAACCTGCAGAAAGGGAAATGCACTGGTGGACTGGCCTCCTACTGGACCTCCTACCTCCCCACCATTCCCTGGTGTCACCAGCTCACCTCCAACAGGCGCAGCTCCTGGACGCAGTTATGAAGTAGTTCCAGGGCCCGGTTGGACACCTCCCAGGGCCTCTGCAGGAAGAGGAGTAAGGTGCACTGCCGTGAGAACAAGTAGCTGCGTAATTCCAGGAGATTAGCCCTCCGCCGCTGGATCATATCCCTCTTCTCCATGTCTATGGGCTTCCTCAGGGACAGACCATCCCAACTCTGAACCGGCTGGCAGAACGAGCTCAGCCAATTGGCTCCATCTAAGACATTGAAGGGACAGGAGGTCAACTCAACTGACAAGACATGCTGGGCCAAAGAATGCTTCTACCTGCCCCCCGACCCGACCAATAGTTATAGATTATACAAGAACGAATCAGAGCTCTGCAGACGCCTCGCCGGCCTATCCCATCTCAGATCTCTCCATTCGGGATCACTTACCGCCAGCGCCGAAGTTCAGCACATACTGCGAGAAGAGAGCGTCCAGCTCATCGTACTGAACCAACGCATCTTCAAACTGCTGCAACATCTCAAAGACAAAGGCCAGCTCCTCCTGGAAGAGAAAGATGAGCGATGGAACAACCAATGGATGACAATCTGCAGGGGGGGGGGGGGGGGGGGGGGGGGAGGACCTGGGGGGGGGGGGGGGAGGACCTGGGGGGGGGGGGGGAGTGGAGGACCTGGGGGGGGGGGGGGGGGGGGGGGGGGGGGGAGTGGAGGACCTGGGGGGGGGAGTGGAGGACCTGGGGGGGGGGGGGAGTGGAGGACCTGGGGGGGGGGGGGGGGTGGAGGAGGACCTGGGGGGGGGGGGGGGGGGGGGACCTGGGGGGAGGGGAGGACCCTGGGGGGGAGGGGGGACCTGGGGGGGGGGGGAGTGGAGGGACCTGGGGGGGGAGTGAGGACCTGGGGGGGGAGTGGAGGACCTGGGGGGGGGGGGGTGGAGGACCTGGGGGGGGGAGTGGAGGACCTGGGGGGGTCAGGGGAGGACCTGGGGGGGGAGGGGAGGACCTGGGGGGGAGGGAGTGGAGGGAATCCTGGGGGGGAGGGGAGGACCTGGGGGTAGAGGGGAAGGCCCTGGGGGGGTTGGTGGAGGGGGTAAGTATATAGAAGGAAGAAGAATCATTTGGTCTTCATAGAGTTAGGAAGCTTTGCATAGGATATAGGTGGTGGCCAATCCATCACAGGAGGAGTCTGGCTCCATGTACAGTGTAGAGATGGAATCCATTGTCCTCTATAGGGGTTGGTCAATGTCTTCTTCTCCCTGTAGGAGGAGTCTGGCTCCATGTACAGTGTAGAGATGGAATCCATTGTCCTCTATAGGGGTTGGTCAATGTCTTCTTCTCCCTGTAGGAGGAGTCTGGCTCCATGTACAGTGTAGAGATGGAATCCATTGTCCTCTATAGGGGTTGGTCAATGTCTTCTTCTCCCTGTAGGAGGAGTCTGGCTCCATGTACAGTGCAGAGATGGAATCCATTGTCCTCTATAGGGGTTGGTCAATGTCTTCTTCTCCCTGTAGGAGGAGTCTGGCTCCATGTACAGTGTAGAGATGGAATCCATTGTCCTCTATAGGGGTTGGTCAATGTCTTCTTCTCCCTGTAGGAGGAGTCTGGCTCCATGTACAGTGTAGAGATGGAATCCATTGTCCTCTATAGGGGTTGGTCAATGTCTTCTTCTCCCTGTAGGAGGAGTCTGGCTCCATGTACAGTGCAGAGATGGAATTCATTGTCCTCTATAGGTGGAGGAAGCTCTGTATGGGGTAAAGATGCTGGACAATGTCTGGTCTACAGAAGGAACCCAGAGTCCTCCACAGAAGGAGATGTTGGAAGTTGATGTGTCATGTGGTGTAGAGGGGTGCCAGGGGGGGTCGCATGATGTAGAGGGGTGCTGGGGTGTCATGTGTGGTAGAGGGGTACCACGTGACGCAGAGGGGTGTCATGTGGTAGAGAGTGCCGTGTGATGCAGAGGGTGCTGCGTGACGTAGAGGGGTGCTGCGTGACGTAGAGGGGTGACAGGGTGTCGTTAGAGTGTTGCTGCAGTAGGGTGACAGTGTGGCAGAGAGGGGTGACGTGTGGAGGGAGGGTGTGACGAGGGGTGTGGCAGAGGGGTGACGTGTGGCAGAGGGGTGACGTGTGGCAGAGGGTGGTGTGACGTGTGCAGAGGGGTGACGTGTGGCAGAGGGGTGACGTACATACCTGCACCATGAAGTAGTCACAGAAGCTCCACCCCGGCTCGGTCCTCTTCTCCCGCAGAGTCCTCATCTCATCCTCGAAGTGTCCCCAGGTTCCGGGTGAAGGAGGTCAGCAGCAATGTGCGAAGTTTTGGAGAGGAAGAGGGACCAGGACTCCTGGGAGCGGGACGTGTCCTTCAGGGGGTCCACCAGCACCATACACCTGAGGAGACAAAGGAACCCTGGTGTCCCCTCCACACACGTCTCTGGTGTTCCCTCCACCGCCGACCCAACAATGTCATCTCCCCTCCACCGCCGACCCAACATTGTCATCTCCCCTCCACCGACCGCCGACCCAACAATGTCATCTCCCCTCCACCGCCGACCCAACAATGTCATCTCCCCTCCACCGCCGACCAAACAATGTCATCTCCCCTCCACCGCCGACCCAACAATGTCATCTCCCCTCCACCGCCGACCCAACAATGTCATCTCCCCTCCACCGCCGACCCAACAATGTCATCTCCCCTCCACCGCCGACCCAACAATGTCATCTCCCTCCACCCGACCGACCCAACAATGTCATCTCCCCTCCACCGCCGACCCAACAACAATCATCTCCCCTCCACCGCCCGTCCAAACAACGTCATCGCCCCTCCACCGCCGACCCAACAACGTCATCTCCCCTCCACCGCCGACCCAACAACGTCATATCCCCTCCACCCGCCGACCCAACAAACGTCATCTCCCCTCCACCGCCGACCCAACAACGTCATCTCCCCCCTCCCCTCCACCGCCGACCCAACAACGTCATCTCCCCTCCACCGCCGACCCAACAACGTCATCTCCCCTCCCACCGCCGACCCAACAACGTCATCTCCCCTCCACCGCCGACCCAACAACGTCATCTCCCTCCACCGCCGACCCAACAACGTCATCATCTCCCCTCCACCGCCGACCCAACAACGTCATCCCCCTCCACCCGCCGACCCAACAATCGTCATCTCCCCTCCACCGCCGACCCAACACAATCGTCATCTCCCCTCCACCGCCGACCCAACAACGTCATCTCCCCTCCACCGCCGACCCCAACAACGTCATCTCCCCTCCACCGCCGACCCAACAACGTCATCTCCCCTCCACCGCCGACCCAAACAAACGTCATCCCCCCTCCACCGCCGACCCAACAACGTCATCTCCCCCACCGCCGACCCAACAACGTCATCTCCCTTCTCCCCTCCACCGCCGTCCCAACAATCTCATCTCCCCTCCACCGAGCCCGCCGACCCAACAATCTCATCTCCCCTCCACCGCCGACCCAACAATCTCATCTCCCCTCCACCGCCGACCCAACAATCTCATCTCCCCTCCACCGCCGACCGACCCAACAATGTCATCTCCCCTCCACCGCCGACCCAACAATCTCATCTCCCCTCCACCGCCGACCCAACAATGTCATCTCCCCTCCACCGACCCATCGACCCAACAATGTCATCTCCCCTCCACCGCCGACCCAACAATGTCATCTCCCCCTCCACCTGCCGACCCAACAATGTCATCTCCCCTCCACCGCCGACCCAACAATGTCATCTCCCCTCCACCGCCGACCCAACAATGTCATCTCCCCTCCACCGCCGACCCAACAATCTCATCTCCCCTCCACCGCCGACCCAACAATCTCATCTCCCCCTCCACCGCCGACCCAACAATGTCATCTCCCCTCCACCGCCGACCCAACAATGTCATCTCCCCTCCACCGCCGACCCAACAATCTCATCTCCCCTCCACCGCCGACCCAACAATGTCATCTCCCCTCCACCGCCGCCGACCCAACAATCTCATCTCCCTCCCCTCCACCGCCGACCCAACAATCTCATCTCCCCTCCACCGCCGACCCAACAATCACATCTCCCCTCCACCTCCGCCGACCCAACAATGTCATCTCCCCTCCACCGCCGAACCCAACAATAATCCGCCATCTGTTGTAGGACCATCAAGACTATGGCAAGTTTTTCCAATCCAGCTCTACAAATCGAAGAGGTCCACCCATCAATGCAGGGGACCAACGATGTTCCACCATAGCCACACCTACCCACCAACCACAGAGCTTCACTTACCACACCTACCCCACCAATCACAGAGCTTCACTTACCACACCTACCCACCAACCACAGAGCTTCACTTACCACACCTACCCACCAATCACAGAGCCTCACTTACCACACCTACCCACCAACCACAGAGCCTCACTTACCACACCTACCCACCAATCACAGAGCCTCCCTTACCACACCCTACCCACCAATCACAGAGCCTCCCTTACCACACCTACCTACCCACCAACCACAGAGCCTCCCTTACCACACCTACCCACCAATCACAGAGCCTCCCTTACCACAACCTACCCACCAACCACAGAGCCTCCCTTACCACACCTACCCACCAACCACAGAGCCTCCCTTACCACACCTACCCACCAATCACAGAGCCTCCCTTACCACAACCTACCCACCAACCACAGTACTCACTTACCACACCTACCCACCAACCACAGTACTTCACTTACCACACCTACCCACCAACCACAGAGCCTCCCTTACCACACCTACCCACCAATCACAGAGCCTCCCTTACCACACCTACCCACCAACCACAGAGCTTCACTTACCACACCTACCCACCAACCACAGAGCCATTCACTTACCACACCTACCCACCACAAGACAGAGCCATCCCCCCTTACAACACCTACCCACCAACCACAGAGCTTCACTTACCACACCTACCCCCCAACCACAGAGCTTCACTTACCACACCTACCCACCAACCACAGAGCTTCATTACACACACCTACCCACCAACCACAGAGCTTCACTTACCACACCTACCCACCAACCACAGAGCCTCACTTACCACACACCTACCCACCAACCACAGAGCTTCACTTACCATACTTACCCACCAATCACAGAGCCTCACTTACCACACCTACCCACCAACCACAGAGCCTCACTTACCACACCTACCCACCAACCACAGAGCCTCACTTACCACACCTACCCACCAATCACAGAGCCTCACTTACCACACCTACCCACCAATCACAGAGCCTCCCTTACCACAACACCTACCCACCAACCACAGAGCCTCACTTACCACACCTACCCACCAAATCACAGAGCCCTCCCTTACCACACCTACCCACCAATCACAGAGCCTCACTTACCACACCTACCCACCAATCACAGAGCCCCCCTTACCACACCTACCCACCAACCACAGAGCCTCACTTACCACACCTACCCACCAATCACAGAGCCTCCCTTACCACAACCTACCCACCAACCACAGAGCCCACCTACCACCACACCTACCCACCAACCAACAGAGCCCTCCACTTACCACACCCCACCAACCACAGAGCCTTCCCCACACCTACCCCCTACCAACCACAGAGCTTCACTTCCCACACCTAACCCACCAACCACAGAGCTTCACTTACCACACCTACCCACCAACCACAGAGCCTCACTTACCACACCCAACCCACCAACCCACAGTACTTCACTTACCACACCTACCCACCAACCACAGAGCTTCACTTACCACACCTACCCACCCAACCACAGACTTCTGGAGGTCCGTGGCAGGATGTTAGTTTTGTTCTTCTTCTTTGCTTCACTCTCAACAACCACAATCAGCCAATCGGTGGAGCCGTGAGCCCGCAGCGCGTTCTGCCACTTGGTGATGTCATCCTTGGTGGAGGCTTTATAGACCTCCGTGTCCTGTGTGGTGGAGACAAGTCATGAGGAAACGTGGCGTATACTGGGCAGTCCCGAGACATGCACCCTCCTGTATGTACACCCCCCCCCCCCCCCCCCCCGGTATACCGACAAACCTCCTGTATGTACACAGCCCCCCCCCCCCCCCCCCCCTGGTATACAGACCTCCCGTATGTACACAGCCCCCCCCCCCGGGTATACAGACCTCCTGTATGTACACAGCCCCCCCCCCCCCCCGGTATACAGACCTCCTGTATGTACAAAACAGCCCCCCCCCCCCCTGATACACAGACCTCCTGTATGTACACAGCCCCCCCCCCGGTATACAGACCTCCTGTATGTACACAGCCCCCCCCCCGGTATACAACCCTCCCTTATATGTACCCCCCCCCCCCGTATACAGACCTCCTGTATTACACAGCCCCCCCCCCCCGATACACAGACCTCCTGTATGTACACAGCCCCCCCCCCCCCCCCCGATACACAGACCTCCTGTATGTACACAGCCCCCCCCCCCCCCCCCGGTAATACAGACCTCCTGTATGTACACAGCCCCCCCCCCCCCCCCCGGTATACAGACCTCCTGTATGTACACAGCCCCCCCCCCCCCCCCCGATATACAGACCTCCTGTATGTACACAGCCCCCCCCCCCCCCCTACCGATATACAGACCTCCTGTATGTACACAGCCCCCCCCCCGGTATACAGACCTCCCTGTAATGTACACAGCCCCCCCCCCCCCCCCGATATACAGACCTCCTGTATGTACACAGCCCCCCCCCCCCCCGATATACAGACCTCCTGTATGTACACAGCCCCCCCCCCCTATATACAGACCCCCTGTATATACACAGCCCCCCCCCCCCGTATACAGACCTCCTGTATGTACACAGCCCCCCCCCCCCCCGATATACAGACCTCCTGTAATATACACAGCCCCCCCCCCCCCCCCCCGATATACAGACCTCCTGTATATACACAGCCCCCCCCCCCCCCCAGTATATACAGACCTCCTGTATATACACACCCCCCCCCCCGATATACAGACCTCCTGTATATACACAGCCCCCCCCCCCCCGGTCCCCCCCCCCCCCCATATACAGACCTCCTGTATATACACAGCCCCCCCCGATATACAGACCTCCTGTATATACACAGCCCCCCCCCCCCGATATACAGACCTCCTGTATATACACAGCCCCCCCCCCATATACAGACCTCCTGTATATACACAGCCCCCCCCCCCCATATACAGACCTCCTGTATATACACAGCCCCCCCCCCCCATATACAGACCTCCTGTATATACACAGGCCCCCCCCCCATATACAGACCATCCTGTATATACACAGACCTCCTGTATATACACACAGCCCCCCCCCCCAGTATACAGACCTCCTGTATATACACAGCCCCCCCCCCCCCGGTATACAGACCTCCTGTATATACACAGCCCCCCCCCCCCCTATACAGACCTCCTGTATATACACAGCCCCCCCCCCCCCCCGCCCCCGTATACAGACCTCCTGTATATACACAGCCTAGCCCCCCCCCCCGTATACAGACCTCCTGTATATACACAGCCCCCCCCCCCGTATACAGACCTCCTGTATATACACAGCCCCCCCCCCCGGTATACAGACCTCCTGTATATAACACACAGCCCCCCCCGGTATACAGACCTCCTGTATATACACACAGCCCCCTCCCCCCCCCGTATACAGACCTCCAGTATACACACAGCCCCCCCCCAGTATACAGACCTCCTGTATATACACACCCCCCCCCCCCCATATACAGACCCTCCTGTATATACACAGCCCCCCCCCCCCAGTATACAGACCTCCTGTATATACACAGCCCCCCCCCCCAGTATACAGACCTCCTGTATATACACAGCCCCCCCCCCCCCAGTATACAGACCCCCTGTATATACACAGCCCCCCCCCCCCCAGTATACAGACCTCCTGTATATACACAGCCCCCCCCCGTATACAGACCCCTGTATATACACAGCCCCCCCCCCCAGTATACAGACCTCCTGTATATACACAGCCCCCCCCCCCCCCACGTATACAGACCCCCTGTATGTATACACAGCCCCCCCCCCCGGTATACAGACCTCCTGTATATACACAGCCCCCCCCCCCCGGTATACAGACCTCCAGTATACACACAGCCCCCCCCCCCCCCCCCGGTATACAGACCTCCTGTATGTACACAGCCCCCCCCCCCCCCCCGGTATACAGACCTCCATATACACAGCCCCCCCCCCCCCCCCCGGTATACAGACCCTGCAGTATACACAGCCCCCCCCATATACAGACCTCCTGTATATACACAGCCCCCCCCCCCCCATATACAGACCTCCTGTATGTACACAGCCCCCCCCCCCCCAGTATACAGACCTCCTGTATATACACAGCCCCCCCCCCCCGGTATACAGACCTCCTGTATGTACACAGCCCCCCCCCCCCCCACCCATATACAGACCTCCTGTATGTACACAGCCCCCCCCCCCCCGGTATACAGACCTCCAGTATACACAGCCCCCCCCCCCCCCCCCCGGTATACAGACCTGCAGTATACACAGCCCCCCCCATATACAGACCTCCTGTATACAGACCTCGGCCCGGTATGACAGTAATGGGGACGGGCTGCTCCTGTATACATGAAGTGACGCTGACCGTACGTCACTGCCAGAGCCTGCGCCCCCCCGCCCCTCCCCCCACCCCGACCTCACACAGGACACTCCTGACCCCAACGACCCAAAGTGCGGGAATCCCACAGACTCCGCCCACCCCGGGTGTGGGAACCTTCAGAGTTCAGATACAGAGAGCCGGTCTGGGTGTTCCTACATCTTCTGCACAGAGCTGATGGGTGGACATGTGACCTGACGTTCCCCGTACACGCCATTACATGGGGGGGGACGGGGACACGGAAGGGACAGGACATGGGGGGGGGGGGGTCTCATGGAGTCATGATACACACCTGAGGGATAGGACATGGGGGGGGGGGTTCTCATGACTTGGGACACACGGAATCATAATACGCACCCGAGGGATAGGTCATGGGGGGGATGGGGGGGGGGGGTCTCATGACTTGGGACACATGGAGTCATGATACACACCCGAGGGATAGGACATGGGGGGGGGGGGGGGGTTCTCATGACTTGGGACATGGAAGGGATAGGAAGGGATAGGGACATGGAAGGGGGACATGGGGGGGGGGGGGGGGGGGGGGGTCTCATGACTTGGGACATGGAAGGGATAGGACATGGGGAATGGGGGGGGGGGGGTCTCATTACTTGGGACACACGGAATCATAACACGCACCCGAGGGATAGGGGAGATCATGGGGGGGGGGGGGTCTCATGACTTGGGACACGGATCATAACACACCGAAGGGATAGGACATGGGGGAGATGGGGGGGGGGGTCTCATTACTTGGGACACACGTAATCATAACACGCACCCGAGGGATAGGTCATGGGGGGGGGGGGGGGGGGGGGGGGGGGTCTCATGACTTGGGACACACGGAATCATAACACGCACCCGAGGGATAGGACATGGGGGGAGGGGGGGGGGTCTCATGACTTGGGACACACGGAATCATAACACGCACCCGAGGGATAGGACATGGGGGGAGGGGGGGGTCTCATGACTTGGGACATGGAAGGGATAGGACATGGGGGGGGGGGGGGGGGGGGGACGACTCATGACTTGGGAATCATAATACACACACCCGAGAGATAGGACATGGGGGGATGGGGGTCTCATGAGGGACACACGATGGGGGGGACATGGGGGGGGGTGGGGTCTCATGACTTGGGACACACGGAATCATAACACGCACCCGAGGGATAGGTCATGGGGGGATGAGAAGCCAACAGATCCCAGGGGCACGGTAGAGGCATCTTATAACGGAACGTATCTACACCTCCCACTTCTGCTACAGATCTGGAACACAATCTGGAAATGTGGGGGGGACCTAGAACAGACCAAATTTCCCTTTTTAATTTTGTGGGAATGGGGACAATAGCCAACGCACACCGACATTTGTATGGATGGCATCTCCGTAGAGGTCCATGACACCCCACGATGGATGACGTCTCTAAAAAAGGAACCCACGATTCCGCATAATGGAGGACATCTCCATAGAGGCCGATGACACCCCACGATGGATGACATCTCTAGACAGGAACCCACGATTCCTCAGGGCATGGAGGACATCTCCGTAAGAGGTCCATGACACCCCCACGATCGATGACATCTCTAAAAAGGAACCCACGATTCCTCATAATGGAGGACATCTCTGTAGAGTCCCATGATGCCCCCACGATGGATGACATTCTCTAGACAGGAACCCACAATTCCCCAGGATGGATGACATCCTCCGTAGAGGCCCAATTCACCCCACGATGGATGACGTCTCTATGAACCCACGATTCCTCATAATGGATGACACTCTGTAGAGTCCCATGACACCCCATGAAGGATGACATCTCTAAACTGGAACACACGATTCCTCAGGATGGAGACATCAACAGAGAGACACGAGGCCTTCAGATGGTAGACATTTCTGGAGAGACCCATGATGCCCCCACGATGGATGACAGCTCTAGACAACTTCCTCAGGATGGATGACATCTCCCGAGAGAGCCATGGTTTCCACAGGATGGACGAAATCTCCAGAGAGAGCCCATGGTTCCACAGATGGATTGACACAGCCTCCAGACAGACCAATGATGCCGGATGACACATCTCTGCAGAGACTCCTGATGACAACTGACATCTCTGGTGAGACCCATGTGGTCCAGATGACATCCCTATAGCACAATACCCAGAATTCCTCTATACAACAAGTGATTTGAACTGGTAGCTCTACTGGTCACTTACCGCACCCCCCCCCCACATCACTTACCGCGCACCCCCCACACCACATCACTTACCGCGCCCCCCCCCCCCCCACATCACTTACCGCGCCCCCCCCCCTGGTGCCCACCATCACTTACCGCGCCCCCCCCCCACATCACTTACCGCGCCCCCCCCCCCCACATCACTTACCGCACCCCCCCCCACCACCACTTACCGCACCCCCCCCCCCCCACATCACTTACCGCACCCCCCCCCCCCCCCCCCACATCACTTACCGCACCGGCACTCCGCCAACCCCCCCCCCACATCACTTACCGCGCACCCCCCCCACATCACTTACCGCGCACCCCCCCCCCCACATCACTTACCGCGCAACCCCCCCCCACATCACTTACCGCGCACCCCCCACACATCACTTACCCGCACTCACCCCCCCCCCCACATCACTTACCGCGCACCCCCCCCCCACATCACTTACCGCACCACCCCCCCCCCCCCACATCACTTACCGCACCCCCCCCCCACATCACTTACCGCACCCCCCCCCCCCCATCACTTACCGCACCCCCCCCCCCATCACTTACCCCCCCCCCCCCATCACTTACCGCACCGCACCCCCACATCACTTACCGCACCCCCCCCCCACATCACTTACCCCGCACCCCCCCCCCCCCCACATCACTTCACTTACCGCACCCCCCCCAACACATCACTTACCCACCCCCCACATCACTTACCGCAACCCCCCCCCCCCCCCACACACACATCACTTACCGCACCCACCCCCCCATCCCACATCACTTACCGCACCCCCCCCCCCCCCCCCCCACACATCACTTACCGCACCCCCACCCACATCACTTAACCCACATCATTACCCACCCCCCATCAATCCCCCCCCCCCCCAACTTTACCCCCCCCCACCCCC